GAATAACCATTTACCAAAAATAGTAGCAATAAAATTGGCTAGAATTTAATGGAACACATAAATAGTAAGTTTTATTGTTTTTCTTATTTTTTTTCTTTAAAAAATCATACAGCATTAAATGCTGCCTTAAATTTCGAGCTTTAGTTCATTTTATTATTTAAAAATTCAGGCAAAATCTATTAAGTGTGCATGTTTTCATTTTTATTTTTTTCCTAATACAACGAACAACATTAAAATCTCGGGCCCTATATTTATTAAATCTCAATCAAATGTAACAAAAGTTTTAGAATCTCATTCTTTATACTTGTGGCATTCAAAAAAATATATTGAACACTAAAAATAGTCTTTAAATACTATTTTTCACATATAATGACAATTTATTTATTTGGAACGTATAATAATAAACTTGGTAAGGCTTATCAATTCTTTGTTTACCAATCTATTGTTTTTTTAAACTCAGTTTCAAAAAGTGAAATAATTTTCAAAATCTCAGTCTCAATAGTTGTGCATTTAAAAAAAAAATTAATGATATATATTATTTTTTAATAGTACACGATTTTAAAAACTCCATTATAAATTATATATTGATATCCAAATCATTTTATAATTATAACCGAATTTGTTAAATCTCCACGAAAATATGGTAAAACAAAATGAGATGATCAACTTTGTATGAAAATAAAATAAAATCAGTAAATCAGTATGAAGTTCACATGAAATGAACACAATTATTAATTTGAAGAGTACACGGATCTCAAAATTAATTACTCACGTGGATTCCAAAATTCAAACTTATACTTATCATGATCTTTTGGAAATTGAATAATATATTGTAGGCAAGATTTTTTTAAACTAATTAAAATTTAATTACTATCTTAAAATTGGTTAGATTCTTAAGATAAGTCAAGACTCGATTTCACAACTCAATCCTTCGACATAAACACTTATTTATATTGGTAGTATAATCTTTTCAATAGTACACAAATTTTAAAATTAATACTCACGTGGATTTTACAATTCAAATGTATACTAATCACCAACTTTTGAAAATTTATATCAATAAATAAATATATATATATATATATATAAAATAACTATTTACCAAAAATCATGAGCAACAATTTCGGGCAAAATAATTTTGTATTTTCTTTTAGCAACAAAATCGGGCAGCATTTAATGCTCCCATCAAAATTGGGTATTGTTCAATTCAATTTCAAAAATTGTGGCTCTGGATATTTTTTAAAAAATTTGGATCGATTTTTCCAATAATTTTGAACGGATTTGACAACCATTCCTTAAATTAAGTATTTTTTTCAACTTAAAATTTTCAAATTATCAACTTCAAAATCTGGTGTATATCAAATTGTATGCATCTCAAAATTCAAAAACACCAATGCACATGTTTTTTAGATGTAATTTTTAAAAAACTTTGGACCGATTTTTCCCATCATTTTGGATAGATTTTTCAACCATTTTCTTAAATTAAGGATTTTGTTCACTTAAACTTTCAAATATCGACTTTAACATATGGTGTATATAAAATTGTATGCATTTCAAAATTTAAAAAAAACCAATGCACATGTTTTTAGATATAAACTTCCTACAATCAAGGATTTTGTATTTTATATGTATTTTATAAATCACACATTTTCAAAATTTTGACTTGTTATGTATAAATTTTCGTGATTTCGAATTCCAAATCCTTTGTTGGAGTAATTTATAATTACTGATATTTTATATACTTATAAACATATTTTTTGGGTAAATTTTTTACACATTCTATAGATTAAATTATATATGTGTGTGTGTGTGTGTGTTACATTTAAATGTCCTTATAGTTTAGAAAAATTTTAGGTTAATTCCAATTTTTTAAGAATAATATATAATATTTTACATAATCTTATATATGATATATAATATTTTAGGTGTTGTTAATATTTTAAACATACATGTTTTATGTTATCTTAGACAATATAATTTTATATTGTAAATTATATCACATGTTAACATCACTTCTTTAATTTATAATTATTACTTATTATATACACCCGTGCATCGCACAGGCTACACACTAGTCCTAATAAATATACTAACTAAACTAGTATTTGATCATGTGCATTTGCACAAATATAAAACACTTTTTTGTTTGTACGTATTTATTAATTAGACATGTACTTCTATCATATAAAAATTATTAATTTTTCTTAGGTTATTTTTTATCATCACAATTAATTGAGATTTAAATTTTGTTTTAACCATTCAACATTTACATTAGTAACATCAATAAAATAATTTATATATTTGTGGCATTTATTAAGAAAATTAACATAAATAAAAAAAATTATTGCTGTTTCTGATTTTTAGAAAAAATAAATGTGCCAATCATATTTTTCTTCCAATAATGCAATCAAATATAGCGGTTACAGCTCTGAATGTGTCAATCAACTTTAAGTTCCAACATTATCCGTTACACATTTGAATATTTTGCTACCAAATTTAGATTTAATTTAGTAACTGATCCAAAAAATAAATAATAAAAATATATATATTAAGGTATAACGGTTTAGCAGATTAGTGAGTAATTAATTAAAAAAAATGTAACTTCTTTTGGAGGGAAATGAAAATAAGTTTTATTAAATGCATATAGTAATTATATATATATATATAGAAGGGATCATATGAGAATAACTCTTAATGCGAGAAATAAGAATGATTATAGATCATTGGATCGGTACGATCAATGGACATGATGAAGTCAAAATATACTAATAACAGTCAAACATATAATGGTAATAAGGTAAATAAATTAACATATTGTGGTCAAATAATAGCATTTGACCACTTATTAGGGATAATTTTGACATCAAAAATAATATCGTCAACTAGTGGGACCCACCTAAAATACTAATTAATTTATCCACCTCACACCCATCACCCATCACCCACCACCTACCCACCCTACTTACCCGTCCCTCACATACACAATTCACAAATCACACGCACTAAACACACACAAGGTCGACGGAGCCGCCGCCGCCGGAACAAAACCTTGCCACCGCCGCACCCATCTCCGGTCACGTCGATGCCAAAATCAACTCGCCGACGTCGATCTGGAGAGATCTTCGATTCCGGCGATGTACATGGACTGCGGCCGTCGACATATCCCAGCACCTGTGTAGTCGTCCTCGCCCGGCGGCTTTTTGTCGCTGCCCACCGTCGCATCGCCGTCGTTCCCCTCCCCTGCACAAAGGCGGCGACGCTCAGTGAAGAAATGGCGTTTTGCGTTACTTTTTTTTTTTAATCGCGCAGAGNAATCGCGCAGAGCCGCGGGGATGCGGCGGCGATAGTTGTCGGGCGATGAAGACGGTGGAGGTGACCAAAATAACTGCAACTGAACATTAGGGCGACCTCCTGGCGGAGGTAGATAGAGGTGGCCGGTTGAAATGTGTTTGGATTTGTGGGGTTAAGTGTTTGGGAATTTGATATTTTGTAAGGGCTAGATTGCAATTTTTTGAAGTTTCATTTATTTCAATTTAATACTTGAGGCAAATCTGTAATATAACAAAAGTTTATTTAATGACCAACATATTATGTTATTATAAATTGAAATAACTTGTATTATTTAACTAAAAAATAATTGAAATAAATTGTATTATTTAATATAAATTCATCTTTAATATTTAATATTATATAGTATATTTTGTTTAAAAACATAATATATTATATAATTGAATATATTATGCAATATAGCAATTATTAAGGTGCAATATGTGCAACACTATAGTGCACGACGACTGTCTGTATTGTGCAACAGATTGAACGAACCGAACCTTTTCGCCTTAAATCGAGTTGATCATGAACATAATTGATTTATTCGGTTCGGTTAACCGAATTACCTTAAATAATCGAAATAATTTGTTATATACACTAAATTTATTTTTAACATGTTAGTAATTTTATTTATTATTTTTATATAATTCATGGTTGAAAAAAACCGAGTTAGGTCGTTTTCGATATATATAGTGCAATTTGATAATCGTGATAAAGTGCAGCGTATTGTATTGTAAAATGCAATGTTTGTTTTATAAAGTGCAACGTGTTGACTTATAAAGTGCATTACCGCGATTTTACAACTATAAAATTAATAAAAATAATAATTGAACTGAAATATAAAATACCGAACTGAAAAAATTAGTTGGTTTATTTTTAATATTGTGTAATCATATAGTCATTAATGTGCAATCCATACGATTATAATGTGCACTTGCAATACATAAAAATATAAATAAAAAGAAAATCGTTAATATTTTTTCATATAGTTCATCATGTTTGGTTATTTTGTTTCTTTAAAAAAACTAAATCCGACATTTATCCAACTAATATTATTCGATCGATTAGCATAATTACAACAATTTTGGTAGATGTAGCGTGATATTTTAAGGTGCAATATGTTGTGTTATAAAGTGCGATGTATTGTTGTATAAAGTGCAACATGTTGATATATACGGTGCAATAATTAAATTTTGATACATTAGCATGTCTGCGTTTAGTGATGTGATGTATATTAAAATATTTTGTAGATCTGTTTTATAATATTGAGTAATATTTTGGTGACAACCGTTGACATTAATCGTGGATTGTGGTGATAAAGTGCAACGTGGTATTCTATAAAGTGCAACGTGTTGTTTTATAAAGTGCAACATTATGCTATATAAAGTGCGCTAATTTATACATTCTCGTATAAATTATGTGTATTCGAAAACTAGTTTTAATATATATAATTGTACATCGAATTAACCTAAATAATTAAAATTTTATTTATCATTTCATTATATAATTTATTTATTAGCATAATTTATTTTTTATATTATTTTATGAAATCAAAATTTAAGAAATTGCAAATAGACCCTTTATCATTATCTAATTTACAAAAAAAAAAAAAAAAAAAAAACAAATTAATTCTAAATCCCTAATTTTTTGGGGCATCTATAAAGTTGCAGAAGACATCCTCGCGCCTGGATTGCCGACGAGTGAAATCCGATCAATCGAGACTGAGATGCGGCCGTGAGGGACGCTCCGCCGCTGCCGCGAGGGGCTCTGCATTCAGTCAATCGCGACCACTGCCGGCCGCCACATACATATCGCGGTGCGTCAATTTCGGTCCGGTTCGCCGACGAGATCTGACCTCCGGTCGTCCGCGACAGTGGAGGCGCGATTTCCGGTGTTTGAATGGTTGCGACGGCCACCGGCGTGGGGCAGAGCTTCGCGATGGAGGAGACGGCGTGTTAAACGGCGGCGATTCAGAGCTCAACACTTCCGGCAGCGAGGCGGCACCTGGCGGACTTCCAGCAGCGAACGTCGGTAAGGCGCTTGCCGACAGGAATCAGTGACGTTAAGTCCGGCTGAGATTGTTTTGTTGGTTTTACTCTGTGTGTGTGTGTGTGTGTGACGGGGTTACAGTGAAAGAGGAGTCTGACTGAGGAGCGTCCGCGGCGGACGGTGAGCTGCTGGCGGCGACGGACGACGAGCTGCTAGCGGCGGGCGGTGGCGGAGAGTTCCCGACGGGGGTGGTGTGTGTGTGGTGTGTGTGTATTGTGTGTGTCAGTGCATGTGAGAGAGTGGGGGTGGGGTGGGGTTGGGTGGGTAATTAATTGGTTAGTTTGGCAGTGGATCCACGTTCATTAATATGTAGTGGGACCCATTTATTTGGGTGAGATATAGATAATTATTACAATACCCTTAATAAAGATATAATTTTGACTTTTTGTTAGCCATTAGATCATCCGATCCAATGACTACTATTTATTCCTATTTCTCGCATTAAGAGTCATTCTCAGTGGAACCCATCCCTATATATATATATATATATATATATATATATATATATATATATATATGTGCACTCAAATAAGAATGAAGCACAATGAAAGAAATAAGAATGATTCTGGACCACTAGATCCACCCCATCAATGATCATGATCAAGTCAAACTTTAATAAGTAAGGATCAATCATTAATGGCAATGTAGTAAATAAGTAGTAATATTATGGTCAAATATATGTATTTGACCACTAATTAAGGGTAAATTAGTAACTATAAAAAATACCAACTAATCCTGGGACCCACACCCACCATTTACCCCTCACCCATCGTCCCTACCCATACTCCCTCTCTCATACACAACACACACACACACTCTTTATCAGATCCGCCGCCACGAAATGATATTAGCCGCCGACCATATGAGATCTGCCGCCCGGCCTTTGAAGCGCCACTGTCTGGCCATCAAGTCGTCGCCGCCGGACTGGCCTTCAAAGAGACGCCGCACCCCAATTGTCGCCGGACTGGCCGTCCAAGCTTCGCCGCCTGTCCATCAAAGCACGACACCTCAAGCGTCCCCGGTGACACATCGCCGACGACATCAGCCACCCATCCGCCTAATCCCGCCACCATCGTCACCTACCAGCCGGCAGTCCGTCAACAACCCACCACCACCGCTTCCAACAGCCCCGCCACCACCGTTGGATCTTGCCGCCGCCACCAGATTCGTCACACATCTCGGAGAAACGCTGCCGCGGGACCTCAATATCACTCTTCGAACTCCGAGCAGACCTTCACCGGCGAGGGACTCCACGACGAAGAGGGTTCCATGACGGCGAGGGAGGCTGGCGAGAGCGAAGAAGACGGCGGCGGTGCCATCCAGAAGAGGCGGCCTGATGTGTAGGGTGCAGTTTTGTTTTCAGCTCTGGTTATTTGAGTTGTGGGTCTAATTTTGGAAATTAGACAAATATGTGGGATTTATTTGTAATTTTTGAAGTTTTATATGTTGTTGCACATTTAATGGGTAATATGATAAATATTTGCACAATAACATTATTTAAATGCACAATATTGCAATAGAATATGAATATTATTTAAAAAAAAAATATATGCAATTGTTATTGTTTACACATTTACAAGGTTGCAATTTTACCAAAATGTAACCGTGCTTGAAAGTCGTTTTTTGGTCGAGACGTCTGACTGAAATAACAAAATAAAATAACTGTGTTGAACTTTAGAAAACAAATGAACCAAAATAAATTTGGCATCAAACTCACATAATTGAATTTTTAAAATTAAAACCATATATAAATAGTTGAACCTAGATCGATTAGTTTTAGTCGACGTTGTGCAGTTTATAAGTCATTAATGTGGGTTCGTCTATCACTATTGTGCATTGACTTGAAAGTAAAAATATATAATGAAATTGAAATATGAAAAATCAAATCAAAAAATTAAGCTTGGTCAGTTTGATTGTTGTTGTGCATCCCGACAATCATTAGTGTGCAATTTGTTATGGACTATTGTGCACGAGTTCTGTTGTCATTGTGCAGTCTGAACTGATAAAAAATTGTCACGAAACAAATTGAAATTGAACTGAATTATTTGATTTATTCGGTTGGTAAACCGAATTATCCTAATTAAAATGATATATTATTTATATTAAACATACATCTAGTATTTTTATAATTCAAAAAAAATTTTTTTGTATTAGTACTGATTGAAAAACACAATATACAAAACAACGAAATCAATAATGTGCACTCTCATATATGCAAATGTATATTTAGTATATCATTATTGTGGAGTCTATTAAGCGACTATTTCTTTTCACCATTTTTTGTTTTGTATGCGTTTCAACGCTAGAGAACTTTAATAATGTACATATTAATTAACATTAACGTTCATTTATTAAATTATTTGAATAATAAAAATATATTTAGCATTTATATTTTTGTTATATAATATTTTACATTAATTTTTTTTATTAAAAATAATATAATATATATATTTAAAATATAAATAATATTTTTAATATAGTATGATCGGTTTTATTATTGTAGCTATTGTGCATTCAGTTCGGATTCTTTTGTGTGTAAATCTAAACTAAAATTGAACTAAAAATAATTGGATTATTTGTTTGATTAATCGAGCTAACTTAAATGATTAATTTTTTTATTATTATTATAAAACTATATTTAGTATTTTAATATTTTTATATTATTTTTTGATTAAAAAAATGTAATATACTATATATAATATGAATATATAAATATATATAAAAAGTATAATATAAGTATAAAAATATATGTAATTTTATAATATTTAAAATATTTATTTTATTTAATTATTTTATTTAGTATATAAAATTTTGTATAAAAAAATATTTTATTATAATCTTTTATAAACAATAAATTTGACCCATGGACTAAAATGAACATTAATTTGAAATTATCAAAATTTCTGTAAATTATATATTTGACCCTTATACGAAATTGTAATATATGGAAGTTTACAAGATTGCAACTAGGTCCCTAGTACTTGTTAAATTTTCAAAGACTAACCCAACCCAAATTAAAACTTTCACCCTGCAATTTTTCGGACATCAACGTCCGTGCCAGTGTTGCCGGCGTCCACCGGCCTGAAGGAGTGAATACGACCTCGAATGACGTTGATTTCGAACTGATTGAGTCGAATTTGAGTTCCATCTGACGGGTTGGAGATTGTGCAAGCCCGGTCGCGGCCCGGTGATTAGGTTATCCATGTTAAGAGGGTGCGCGCGGAGAAGATGATGGATCCGCCTTCGATCTCTGGCTTCTTACGGTGGAGGCGGGGAAGGCCTCTCTGCGCCGCCGCCGACGAGATCTTGCGGGAGGTGCTTCTCTCTGAAGGTGGTGGGGGTGGAGCTAGGCGGTGGTGGCGACGGGGCTGGCTTGTGTTCAGCGGCGGTAGACGAGCGACGGTAGGCGAACGGCGGTCGGAATTTGTGATCGGCGTCGGTTGTCTGTGCTGCTGTGCGTGTGTGTGTGAGAAGTATCTCTGCGTGTGTTGTGTTGGTCAACGTGTGCGAGAAGGGAGATGAATGATTGGGATGTGGTGGGGCCCTGGTGGGTGTATTTGTGTTTATTGTCTACATTACCCTTAAGGATGTAAAAAATTATGTATATTTTGTGTTGTTGGATCATCCAATCTTGTGGCTAGCATGTATTCTTATTTATTTCATTGAGCACTTTTCTCACCGGAGCGCATCCCTATTTATATATATATATATATAGGGTCACGCTTCGGTGAGAATGGTGCTTAGTAAAAGAAATAAGAATACATCGTAGCCATTAGATCGGATGATCTAATGGATAAAAAAAAGTCAAAATTATACCTTCATAAGGTAGTGTAGTAATTTTCACATACAAATAGTGGGACCCACAAACACACCAATTACCCAACACCCACGTGGATCAAACCCACTTGGCTCCTTCTCTCTCACAAAGTCTCACACACATACACATACTCACTGTACACACACATTAAAATCAAAGACCCGTCCAGCTCCACCATATCTGCCGCTATCTTCCTCCACCATTCCCGCCGCCATTGCCGCCGCCATCTTCGCCCTCACCGTTCCAGAAAATGGCCGCCGACATGGACGTCGGGAAATCGTAGGAAAAGCACTGTTTTGCGTATCTAACGGTCTCAGTCGCCGTCTCCGTCACCATCGCCGCCACCGCATCTAGTCGTCTCCTCCGTGCGTCTTTGCCACCGTGTGCAGGTAAGTTCGACGGCAACGACAAATGATGCCAACAGCACGTCAATCAGGCTTGTGTAACCCACCCCGCACACACTCCGACCACCTCCGGCAAGACGGTGCAAGATCCAGATCCCGCGGCACCCCTAGACGATCGCCAAAATTAAGAATCCAACGCCAAAATTAGGAATCCGATCAACAAACTTCGCCGCCCCAACCCATTGAAGACGCCAGATTTGTTGGAGACGGGTACAGAAGACGGGAAATTGAAATTGTGGATTGGGGGTTTCATTGTGAAAATTAGACAAATCAGAGGGGCCTATTAGCAAAATTTAGAACACATTTACAATTGGGCCTGCTTACAATTGATCCAATAGCTTATGTTTTTTTTAGAGGAAATTACACCCCACACTAACATAATTCATTTGTTTAACACTTTTGTACCTATTAAAAGATTATTTATAAAATTACCAAAAGAAGCTAAAATATTTTCAATTATGCCTACAACAAATTATAACCGTTACAAACGTTTTATGTGCACATTAAAATGGAATGTGATGTTTAATTGATTTTAAAGATATGCTTACCAAAAAAATAGGTAAAAAAAAGATTTCTACTCCAACCAAAAATCCCGCACCGCCCCTATCTCTGCAAATCACCCTCAAAAAATCTCCCCCAAAATCTCCACATCTCAAGCTTCAATGGCGAAGACTAAACTTCCTCGTCCTCATCCAAAACATTCGACCACTGTGGCTGACGATTCACCACCGATTAGATCAAGTTCCCGGCTACGTAAGATCCACCCAAAAAATCAACCAAAGCTCGTTCA